TAACATATATTATGTTATCTTTTTGTTTATTTTTAATGGGTTAAGCCAGTAAACGAGCAGACGGATTACCTGATGGTAAGCAATTGGCGCCGCCCAACACACCCAACATAAAGTGCGAAATTGGGAATTTGAGGATTGTGGGGGATTCGGAGATTAAAGAGACTGGGGAAGGAGGGTAATTGGGCCTCCGGTAACGTCACTCACACTTCTATCGTCTAAGGTATTGTCTCATTGGTTTGTAATGGGACAATTAATGGTAATGATAAACGTACTTGTGTGTTATGTATTTGAATTACTATATTTTGGTTTTTATAGTAACTATCGTGAGACATACTAAATTAACTAAAAACCGCGGGTTACTCACGTGAGTATACTGAGAAAATCTCTACTAGTTTCGAGCCACAGTGAGTCGCCGCGACCGCGCACGCTGATCATGAGGAAGAACCCTTCTGTGGTTCGAAACTAATAGAGCTTTTCTCAGTATATTCACGTGAGTAACCCGCGGGTTTTAGTTAATTTAACTTTATTTTTATCTAACAAAAAAAAAAAAGAAAACTAAAAAATAAATGTGACTGACTAAACCGATTAACATTTTTTAATTGCTTTGAAGTTTAAACGAAGCTAAAACGTTCATTAATCTAACTAGATAGGTTTCGTTTCAAACCTTTCATAATTTATAAAAAGAATAATGTCTATTACAATAAGCAAAAAAAAAGAAATTTTTTAGCGTTAATCTATGGGTTTATAATATAGGTTATTATGTACATTATTATTTTTTATTTATGTTTATCATTTCCTTTTCTGTATGTAACTTCTATGTTATTAATGGTGTACAATAAAGTTTATTCTATTTTATTCTATTCTATGGATTTCGTTTAAATCCTTCATAAAAAATAAACAAATTAACATAAAATAATACTCTAAAAGAGTTCTTTTTCTAATATTATGAGAGTAACTTTTTAATCGACTCCAAAAGGAAGAAAAGAGGTTCTCAACTTGACCTGTGTGTATGTATACATATATGTTTGTGCGCAATTACCTCACGATTGGGTGAACCGATTTTGACGTGGCTCTCAGAAAAGTGTTTGTTACACTTAGGAGAAGGTTTTAGTATATTAATTAACCGGCTTCAAAAAAGATGGGGTTGAATTCGGTTCTTTTAAGCGTATTTTATAAAAGAATTGTTTCAAATACTGAGTATTAACATCAATAAGTACTTATTTAAATACGGTTACTAAAAGAGCCTTCACAAATAAGTATCCTTCTTTCATTTTATTTAATTTCATTGGCTTAGAAATTTCTTTTACCTCAATAATATGATTAAGAATAAAATACCGTTACGGATGGATGGACAAAACGATTAATTTATTGATGAAATGAAGTAGTATTTTAGACTTTGATGAAATATTATTGTGTCTATCAATTACATGTAAATGTATAAGTTTATTTCTTTGAATGTTTGTCCGTGAATCAAGCTGAAACTACTGAACGGAATTTAATGAAATTTGGTACACCTAAAACGTCAAAATACTGACTGCCTCGTTGACCAGGTGGTCGCAATTGCGACTGCCGGCAAGAGGTCTCGGGTTCAATTCCCGGGTCGGGCAAATTATTACTGGGTTTTTAAAAACTTCTCAGTAGTAGCACGGAGCCTAGAATTGTGCCCGGTGCATGGCAATATGCTCACCCTCTATTACATGGGACTCATAATATAAATAGTGAAAAGTGGGTGTTACATTGGACAGTGGTATTTAGTGCCGTAGATGATGTGCACCTCTGTCTACCCTTTCGAGATTAAAAGGCGTGATGTAACGATAATGATGTATAAAATATCACATGTGGTATTAAGATGTTTTTTAAAACTTAAACTATCTAACACGATTACATAAATTTTAGTTCAAAAATCTAAATTGGATTTATTTTAATGGATCCTGACATAGGTATGTATAATAAAGTGTTGTGGAAGCTTCTATCATTTTATTATCTCACTCAGATTGTCATTATTTATACATAAAATATAATAATTTTCCTCAACCAACACACACCGACACAATAAAACACAAACATTATCTTTTTTCAAAACAATTTTTTATATAATAAAATACGAACATAAATCGTCTATTAATATTCCCTCCAACGCGTAGCCTATTAAGTTCAAAGAATAAAAGAGAACTTCGGTTGATGAATAACCGGAAAAATCCAGAATAAATCGCATACCAGCCAATTGTAGGGCAGCAATGGCGTCTAACACACGTGCCTTCGAACGGGCCCTTATCAGATCGTAAGGGGAACTTTGTATCCCCTAAACTAGGTTAATGAAGGACTTTTATACAGTTTTTTTTTTCGTAAATAATGTTTGAAGATGTAAACAGGTTGGTGGAGACAGTTTTAGTATTGGGCCTGTATTTTCTAAGTATATTTTAGGTGCTTCTACATGAGGTAGGAATGTATTTGAATAGAGAATTTTGTCAAAATCAAAAAATAATCATCAACTGCCTATAAGTGCCCACTACTGACCAAAGGCGGAGGCTTAAACCTCTCACACGGAGGTTTAAGCATTAATCACCACGCTTGCTCAATGCGGGTTGGCGATTACAAACTTATAATTAGAAATTAGAAGCCCAGGTTTCCTCACGATGTTTTTCCTTCATCCGTAGTTTGTCTAAATAATCTTAGAAAACAAAAAAATAATATTGCATAATTAAAAGTTGAATATTGGATGTAAGCACCTTAGTATCTAAAAGTACAGGCAGGTTGGTACTTTTTTCGAAATTTTGGTTAAATAAACCCGAGCGAATTAGAAATTAATGTGAAATTTCACTCAAATATCATACAGTTATTTCAATTAGATACAGTTAGTTAGTAATACGGTCAGTTTATTCAGTTATTTTTTTTAGCCTTAAGATTTTTTTAAGGTGTAAATAGTGTTCATAGTTATTTATATTTAAACTTGTATACCTATATTTTTATTAAGTAATAGTTAATATTAATGTTATGTATTGAATTTGTAATAATTACTTTTTTGTGATAAAATTATTTGATATAGAATTATGTAAGAAAAACTGTTGCCCGTGACTTCATCTGCGTAGAATACGATTCCTATTTTATTCCTTGGAAGCATTTAATCGGGATAAAAAGTATCCTATCACCTAAGTCAGCCCATATCCTGCCTGTATCTCAAAGAGCCATCAGACCACCACGGATGGGGCACAATAGGGCTGATGCCGATACGGTTTCGCGGAGAATCTAACGGGTTACCGGGGCTCCAGCTCGAAGTGCAGGAGTAGAAACGGGTTGGTTTTTAGTCAGTAAGAGTCTGACACTCTCCCTCCCGCCTCACCCAGGCAGAAGCAGTCATTCGATGATTTTCCCCCCTTAAAAAATACTCTGCCTGTATACCAAAATTCATCAAAATCCGTTCAGTAGTTCCAGCGTGATTGACGGACAGATATCTAAACACCAAACAAAGAAACTTTCACATCTATAATGTTAGTATGATATAATCATACAGTAAATACTCGATAGAGCTAAACGTTTCTTCAACATTCACTAGAAGCCGACAGAAATCGATTTAATTCTACAGAACTTGCAATGTCAACTAAGAATAGGCATTTGATTGTAGAGCATAATAATTACTGACGAAGTTATTTCTGAGTTTATGTATTATTGATAGGCGCTTTCCACGACTGCTTTGTGTTTTATAACAGTTAAAATCTATACATTATACTAAAATCGTAGGAAAGTGAGAATTGTCCATCGAATATTTTTTTAAATAATGTTTTGGGCATGATCTACAGTCGATACTGAAGCCAAAAATATGGTTTCTAGAATTTTTGTCTGTTTGTCTCTATGTATGTTCGGGATGAACTCAAAAGTGCTGGTTGGATTTACTTCAAATTTTGCATGAATATTAGGCTATATATTATCATCCCATCACCTACGGGGGAGGAGCTGTGAATCACTATTCCACGCGGACGAAGTCGCGGGCTTTTTTTTTTCGAACGCCATATACATTTTAACTGACGAATAACTTTAAGCATTCGAAAATTCTACCATATTAAAAATTGGCAAATGACAATTGACATTATCATTTTTGATAAAAAACCCTTCATAATTAAAATAAAGAAAAAAAAAGAAAGTACTAAAATGTCATGACATCTCTTCTAAAAATAATCTTATTTAGATTAAGGTTAGATTCATATTTAGATTACAATACACAAATGAACTTACTTTCAACAATGTGTTGTGATCTTTTTACTAAGCTCTGTTTTATTAGTGGAAATGCTTAAGGTTTTTTAGCGGAACTACAAAACTTTTGTAACTGATATTCGACTGTCTTTGTGTGAATTTCCACCAGTAATATGTAACAGAGAACCGACAATTCTGAACAAAACTCCGAACTTATTCTAGGAATACAAATGAAACATCTTAGCCTTTCTCCAAAGATATTTTAAACTAAGCTACAACATTTCCTAGCAAGAAAACCACCCATAAGACAGTCGTATCGCGAAAACGCAAACGTCGAAATGATCGATGCAATATAATTTGTCACAGCTTATCCCCTTGTCTAAAGAGAGGATTGAAGACACGAATTTGTCTGAAGAACGTTTCATTTTTATTGATGGCAACTCTGCTTTGAATGGAATATTTAATTTTAGAAGAACACTTTAAATGTTATTCATGTTCATTTAAATCGGAAAAAAGAATTTGTCTTTTGAAATGAAATTATTGGTAGGTGCTTCTATTTTCAAAAAGTAAATTAATAAATGTTTTTAATAATTCACACAGAATTTCATTTAACGTAAAATAGATTCGTTATATAGTAAATTCACGAAATACCTTGGCAATGAAGTCGCATAAATTGTAAAATTTGGCACAAATATTCGAGATATAAATGCAGTTAACATGTTCACCTAAGACCGGAAAGCCGATATTATATTCAAACTTAAACTATTTCAGCCTGTATTTCCCCTAAACAATATAATAACAATGTTACTTACCGTCCGGAACATACACGTTCAAGAAGAGACAATCCTCAGAATACTCCTTCTTTCGTTTTTCTTCCATTTGGGAATCCAAGAGCTTCATGAACAGATCATCATGTTTCTTCAAAGGGTTTTGCACATCTTCCTTTTTCGGGTCACTCTGCATGCAATCCGGGGCGTATATGGTCGCGTTTCTCACACCTTCCCATTGAGGTAAATCAGTATATTCCGGGGGCAAAAACCTTCTGAACTCAATTGGAGGTTGAGCATACGGTATTCCAACGTATGCTGCTATTCTTTTCGTCCGAAACCTCGTGATGTACATCCCCGATATCGTCCCTTGATTCACTAAATTTATTTGCTTTGGTTCTCTCGCCGATAAAATTAGAGTCATTTGCAATAACAATACAAACACACGAATCATTTTTAAACACTTATTAAAACTAATGGAGCAAGCAAACTGGCAGCACGGCTTAATAAAAACTTGTAATTTGTCCTTTTAAAAAACGAAACCGGTGTTCGAATACGTTAAACTTAAAATGGACGTTCATTTCGATATTTGAAAATTTTTAATTGACGGTTATGTTTTTGTCACTTTTTATTTTAGTTTATTAGTTTCGTTATGTTGTTTTGCTTGTTTTTTTAGTTTTGTTGTTACGTGGTTCAATCGTACCGGTATTGGTGGGTGTTCGTGTTCGAAGGTGGTGCGTTACTGTTTCTCGTGCAGACTTTGGCTCGTAAACAGTGGGGTTGTCCGTCGTTATAGCGACGAAGGAACTGCTATTGTGAACTTTGTTTGTTTTAGAATTGGCCTTTGTTATATTTCTTTGCGATTAGCTTTGTAAGTTGAGGGTTTTCTGGAATTTCTTACACTATATTGTTGATTGTTTTTGAGAAATAGTTATGTAATTAGTTGAATTGAAATTATGTGTATGATTAGGTATGTATGTACATTTTTCTTTACAGAATATTTAATCTGTAGAAAAGAATTAAGTATTTAGACTCGTCTATATTGGTAAAATGGTAAAGTCTTACTAAAGTTACTTTTAATACCATCTAAAGAGGAAAAACGTTAAGAAGAATTAATTGTTTGCTATAGATGTCTTTAACGAACTTCTTTGCCACTTCAAACACATTCCGTCTTTATTATTTGGTTTGACTCCTATTATAAAATGTGCCTCATACCAGTTAGTATAGATCATTATTATATAATTTCTGGTAATTACATTTCCCAATCAATCTTCATTAACCAATAGAAACACAAGAACGGCCATGTCTAAATAAGTATGAAGGCAACAAATAACTGGTGGTAAGCTTGCGACGCGACGCGACGGATCGCGTGACGAAGTAAGGCAGGAGTCATTGCATTGCCACCGTCGACTTGTTTTCGCCTCATCTCATGCCTCACGCTATGTGGGTCATTGCGACTTTAATATTGATCGATATTTTTTGTATTTGTGTGTGTTTTATTGTTTTTTTGCTTAGGTTTAGCTGGTACGTGAGTGTTAGTATGGGAATGGGTTTGATAGTGGTAGCATGTACAACTAATTAACATAACATAACATAACATCACGCCTTTTATCCCTGAAGGGGTGGGCAGAGGTGCACTTTACGGGATTTAATGCCACTGTACAATGTGACACCCAGTTTTCACTATTTATGTTACGAGTCCCATGTAATAGGGGTTGAACCTATTGCCATATACCGGGAACAATTCCAGACTCCGTGCTACCACTGAGATTTTTTTTTTAAAACCTAGTATTACTTTGCCCGACCCGCGAATTGAATCCGCGAATTGAGGCCCCTTGCCCGGCAGTCGTACTTGCGACCACTCGGCCAACGAGGCAGTCAACAGTACAACTAATTACTTAGTTCTGAAGTCTGTATCTTCATTATCATCACAATGTCAGAACACAAAACTTCATCTACTGAGCATACATAGATCAATAAGTTTCCCCACATAGCTTCCACAACATAACATCATCTTTTTTATCCCTAGTAGTAGTGGTAGGCAGTTAAATGCCACAGTACAATGTATCACCCACTTTTCACTATTTATGTTATGAGTCCTATGTAATAGCTTTCACATCCTCTTTTTAAAAGCATTCAGGCGGAGTGTCACATCAGAGACCACGTGGAGATGCTAACAATATAGGATTACGTAAGACGCAGTCTTGACCATTCTGAATTCTTTCTACTAAGCAACAAGATAACTAGAAATTTCTTAAAACATTTTCATTATAAGCTGAAATATGGTACATAAGTAATAGAGGTCCACGTATTTGGAAGCTGAAATGTACCTTATATACGTGGAGAATAATTAAGAGTTCTGAGGTCATCGACTTTCTGAACTTACCGGATCCATTTCAGTCAGATATTGTGCCAGAAGTTAAGTAAAACCCTGTAAAATAATATTCTAATATTAATTATAATGTACATGACATGTGCAGACAAAAATATTATTATAATTTTAATTATTAATTTATATACTTAAACAAAATTATTTCCACTCTCTAAGGACATTTTCATAGAATCGTATTTAGAAATTAGCTTAATTATTATTAGCTCGCTAAAACATTTTCAGGTGTGCTGGTGTGTAAAATACATATATTCTCGAAGGTAAATGATACGTACGTAAAACACGATCACTGAATATTTAAGACGAAGTAATGGAACTTATGTAGTTGCATTAAATAGTCGGCGGGACCACATGAGACCTATACCTAATATGTTACAGGTCTCATGTGGTCCCATATTTGAATCTAAAATGATAATAATTATCATATGTATTTCGGTTGTCAACAGACTGCCTTGTTGGCTGAGTAGTCGCAAATGCGATGCCCGGGTTATGCAAATTAATGGGTTATTAAAAAAAATCCCAGTAGTACCACGGAGTCTGAGATTGTGCTCAGTATATGGCAATAGGCTCACCCCCTATTATATGGGGCTTGTAACATAAATAGTGAAAAGTGGGTATTATATTGTGCAGTGGCATTAAGTGCCGTAATGTACACCTCTGCCTACCCCTTCTGGGATAAAAGGCGTGATGTTATGTTATGTATTTCGGTAAATTACTGATAAAGGACTGTGTATTATTAATGTAAAAAGGTTTTTACTCCAACGATTTGGGATAAGCCGATTGATAAACGATAGTCTGTGGTTAAAATATTTTCGAGCTCCTAATAAACATATTAAAGGGATTAACGCCTGGTCTTAGAATTAGTCTGGCTGTTAAATCTAATTAGAAATTTATTTACAAACAACAGATCTAATTGAATTATGTTTTTCACGTTCGGTGGTCTGATTGGCCGGTTTCAATGAACCAACCAATCGGAGTACTCCTTCTTTCAAACACAGTCTCGTTTCGATTACTTTTAATGTAAAAGAAACTGGTATTAAGGCCTCTGTTTTATTGGTAGTAGTTACATCGAAACTTAGTTAGTTTTTCTTTAGGGGGGAAATCATCCAATGCCTTCTCCCGCCCGGGCGAGGCGAGGAGTGTCAGACTCTTGCTGACTATAAACCACCCCGTTCCTACTCCTGCACTTCGAACCGGAGCCCCGGCAACCCGTTAAGCCCTTCGGGGCTAGCTTTGTTAGCTATAAGTATAATGGTATTCCTGAAATTGTAGAGCACAATACCCCGAACATAATATCTCTATAAAGATATTTTTCAGAAAGGCTTGACCAATGAAAGTATCATGGAGAGAAATCAAAAAGATTAATCAAAGACTGTTGATTTTTATTTAAAGTAAATAAAAGATGAAATCTTCGTTGGTTTTAAATTAAAATCTCCAATAAGTAATCAATCATTTTCGTTAATTACTTTTACGTTATCGAGGTGCAATATTTATACTCGTATCGAGGTTTTATTTTATGTTAATAAATATTATTAATAAGTTTATTTTAATGTCAATTTGACGTAGAGTTAATGATCTGGAATGAATTGATTTTATTAGTGTAGGTAAACCCGAGCACGAGGGATTAGGAGTTTTTTTTTCGGTTCGCACTAAAATCTTCAATGCAATCACTCTTTCTATGTACCATTTAAGAGTAAAATTTGGTACTTTTGAAACGTCAACCAACACAAAATAAATAATAGTCCGTCAGTCAGTCCGTCAGTGAAGCTAGGTGAAACTAGGTGCTCATTCCAAAATGTAGATTCGTATGGAGAAGAACGAGCATGATACTCCATTCGTTACTCTTTTAAAAAAACGTATGTTCTACAATGTCTCTGATACATATTCCAATACTGTACACATATGTGAGAACAATGCAAAGACGCGCTTGACGCATTATACAAATTACTAAACTTATTAAAATAATGAACAAAACAAACATACAAAAATCTATCATTAACTAAAAATAACGGATTTTTTTCTTTTTTTTAAACGTTGCCCCACACTTGGATTTTCTCCTGTGTCGTGGGTATATTTTCAAACATTCAAGTTCACATACACATGACACCCAGACCAATCACATACAAACAACAATCTGTGGATCACTCAAAGAGTTGTTCCGTGCGGGAATCGAACCACTAGGGAGAGATATCCTGCGACACGTGTCGCCAGCGAGGTTGGGTGAGTAGCACGACGTTGCCGGACTTTGGTCGACATGTCTGGCAACATCAACGTCGCTGTGGACATCGACGACGGCGCGCGACCTTATAATAATATGTCGGGTGAAATCGGCAGGCTTCGCTTGAAGTGTCACCCATGCATTTCGTGGGACATTTGTGCTCTAGCGTATCCTTGGCTTTTAACGTGAGTAACCCGTTTTTTATTAATTCTGTATAAGTACAGTTCAGTATAAGTTCAGTATAAGTAAATACTATAGTTGTTATTATTATTTTTTTGAATGGGGGAAAATCATCGAATGACTTCTCCTGCCTGGGTGAGGCGGGAGGGAGTGCCAGACTTACTGACTAAAAATCACCCCGTTCCTACTCCTGCCCTTCAAGCCGGAGCCCCGGTAACCCGTTAATCTCTCATAATCTCCGCGGCGCTATTCAGATTAATAAGCCTTTTATTCAGATTTACAAAAAACAAATTAAGATACAAATTTTTTTTTTAAGAATTTAGTATTTACTAATTCATTGAACTTACACGTTGACTGCCTATTTGTGTAGATAAAATAATTCTGGCACAAAACTTTTTTCCCTAGGATGTGTACACAAATAGCATTGTGTTAGTTACAGATTGTGTCGTGGTGGCCCGGAGGTTTAAGACGCCCGCTTCTCACGCATGAGGGTGCAGGTTCGAAACGTACCAACGGCAAGTACCAATGTGACTTTTTCCGAGTTATATGTACTTTCTAAGATTATTTA